TTTTTTTTTTTTTTAAATCACAAACTAAATAATGTTACACTAAGAGCTAATTGTAGTAATACCAAAATGTTTAGTTTTTTAACCGGTTTTGATCCACGGTTTGATTCTGTCTGGAGACAATATTGAGTTGTATGGTCTAGAGGATACATTAAATCCTGGTACGTCGCATACTACATACCGATTATTGTTAAGTACCTTAGCAATTTGGTAAGGACCCTTGTATGTGGGTTTTAGTTTTCGGTCTTCTCCAGGTTTATTCAACGTGTCTCTGATTAAGACATAGTCACCGGGATTATACTTCGACGGGACTTTATGTTTACTATCGTAATAGGCCTTATTATAATTCTTAATTTTATCAGTTGCTTCAACTGCTATCCTACGACTAGCTTCGCGTTCATCACAGAAACTTATTTCAACTTTGGCCAACTTATTCAGATAATCAACTAGTTCATGATCCGGATGCGCACGTTGGTCGTAGCCAAGAAGTAACATGGACGGAGTCGTCTTAATAGAAGAGTGGTAAGTATTATTAATTACGTACTGTACAGTATTTAGGTGATCCGACCATGATGACTGATCTTCGACTAACTTTTTGAGCGAGGATTTTAGGAACCTATTGATCCTTTCTACTAAACCGTTAGACCATGGTGCCGCTACGGCTACTTGTCTGTGATGAGTGTTTCTTTCCCGCAGGAATGTTGTGAATTCGTGAGAGGTAAAAGCCGTTCCCCTATCCGTAACCACTTCGTGTGGATTACCGAACACGTTAAACAGAGCAACAAAATGTTTTATTGTCTCCTTAGAGGTCGTGGACTTTACTGGGAAAAGCCAGGTAAATCTAGTTAATGCGTCAATAATTAACAGCACATGTTTAAATCCTTCCGATGATTCGGTTAAAGGGCCAAGATGATCGGAATGGAGTATTTGNAAGGGTTTACTAGGGCTGGTTGTAATTTGTAATTCTCCCTCTCTCGAATTCACAGCAGAGTTTGCTATTAGGCAGTTTACACAATTATCTATATGCTCGCGAACTTTTTTACGCATCGCCGGAAACCAATAGTTTGTCTGAATTCCTGCTAACGTTTTTTCAAATCCGCAATGTGCCATCTCGTTATGATAGAACCGAATGATATCACCTGTCATGGCTTCGGGTACTACAAAACGTGGTCGGTCATTGCCCTTCCTATAAACAAGTCCTTCTATTAACTCATACTTTTCATGATCCGAGTCTTCTAGTTGATGTGCGACATTATTAAGGTAAGTATCTTGCAATTGCCGGTACTCGAGTTCTTTTTCTAAGGGCATCGGACTAACATAGGCGCTAACGCGACTCAACGCATCCACGTGTGACATTTTACGCCCTTCTCGGTGTTGTATTTTGAAACCGTAGTTCTGCAAACGCAAGGTCCATCTTGCTACGCGTGGATTGAGGTGTGCTTTATTCACAGCATACACCAACGCATGGCAGTCCGTGACCACCGTAAAAGTAAGCCCGTATAAATAAATGTGAAATCTTTCGATTGACTTTACTACCGCCAACATCTCAAGTTCAAAGCTGTGATAATTCTTTTCAGCCTGATTGGTANTCTGGCTATAATAAGCTACCGGAGCCCACGATCCAGTATCTTGTTTTTGAAGGAGAATAGCTGCCAGCGCAATCGAACTTGCGTCAGTATGCAATTCAGTGTCTAACTGAGGATTGTACAAACGTAACACCGGATAAGTGGTCAACTCGTTTTTAAGTGATTCAAAAGCATGAACGCAACTGTCGTCAAACTCGAACTTCGCATTTTTATGCAATAGCTTTACTAAAGGTTTAGCTTTATCCGCGTACCGCGGAATGAATTTCCGAAAATAATTTGTCAGTCCGAGGAACCTTTGTACCTCAACCGTCTTAGTTGGAATCGGGAAATTTTTAACTGCTTTAACGTGTCGCTCACTCAAAGTGATACCTTCGGGAGAAACCACATATCCTAAGTATTCTATACTTGTTTTAAGGAAGTGACACTTGTTATAATTAAGTTCGAAGCTATAACTTTTAAGTATCAACAGTACTTGTCTTAGGGCCGTTAAATTTTCTTCCACTGTTTTCGTAGGAATCAATATGTCATCTATATAAATTATGACCTTATCTTCTCTTAAGAGAGGTTGCAAAATTTGAACTAGCCTTTTTTGAAACTCGGCTGGCGATTCACTAAAGCCGAAAGGCAGCCTTGTGGACTCAAACTGACCATCTGGGGTCGCGAAAGAGAAATATTTTGTAAACTCGGGATGTAACTTGATTTGGTGAAAGCCATCCCTTAGATCAAGTAATGGAAATACCTTTTTGTTTCCCAGTCTAGACAAACAATCTTCTATTAAGGGAAACGGATATTTTTGTTTTACTATTCTATCATTAAGCGGTCGCAAATCGACGCAAAGGCGTAACGTGCCATTCTTTTTACNTACAGGCACCACCCGAGCACAATAAGGTGAATTACTTGGTTTTATGATGCCTCGTTCAAGCAAATCATCCGTGATTCTCCTTATTTGCATACGCTCGGACCAGGCGAAACGCCTAGGTGCGTAAGCAAACGTGGAATCGTCTTTCAACGACACCCTGACCAGATATTCTTCCTGGTCGTTCTCTTTTACTGAGGTTTTACTAACCTCCTTTACCATGTCGATTAGTTTTTCTTTAACGTTGTCATCAAAATCAACAACGATGTCTGACGGACAGAAACCAAGGTTCCCATCTTGAACATCTATTACATCGGCTGAAGCTACTTCNGTTAGTAACTGTAGTGTTGAATTCGATTCTACTTCAGAGGGTTTATAAATCATAGTTATTTGATTCACAGAAAAGAAATCTCGACCAAGAATAATATCTGTGGGCCACGCTTTATTTTCTATTACCTGCAACTCCACATTTGTTACCAAACTGTCTAACGAGTCCAAAACCATTGTCGTTTTTACTGAGCCAACAATAGTTATCGGTACATTACTTACTGTTGTAAATCTACTCGCTACCGGTTTACCCCAGTTCGCTTTATCACCGATGATTGTTTCGCAAACGTNGGCTTTAATGAACGATATTGGACTACCTGTGTCCACTAAGGCGTACAACTTACAATGATTGTTATTGAATGACTTAACAGNTAAAACATAATCGCTTAACACTAATTTTCGGTCGTTCAGATTNCTGACGCAGGCCACCGATGAAGTTAAATCCTCCTCGGCCGTAGAGGCTTTCATTGTCGTTGAATTTACCTCTGTTACTGGAGCCGCCGCAACTGTGGTGGTTGATTGAGACAACTGCTCCTTCCTCTTAAGTTTGAAGCACTCATCGCGTACGTGACCCTTGTTTTTGCAGTACACGCAGAAAACTTCTTTATTGGACTTCTTTGGAGAANATGCTTTGGCGTCCGTCGTTGTCTTTGCTTTGACTGATTTATTCGTTGAAGAATACGGCCTTTTCAGCATATCCGCACTCATTACCGTCACCCGGTGCATTTCTTTCAGGAACTGGTCGACAGTGGAGGCCTTCAATGCAGTTGCCGTATTGCGCAAACTAAAATTAGTGATACCGTTTATTAAAAACATGATTGAATCCTCTTCCGACAGTCGAAGTCGGTATACCAAGGCCAACTTGTCATTAGCATAATCCAAGAACGACTCCTTGTTATGGTCCCACTTCCTAGCTTCAATTCTTTGAACAAGGATGTGATAAGGAATGGAGTACTGGAAACGACTATTAATGGCAGTTCTAAAGTTTTGCCATGACTCTTTAGTAGATGCGGGTGAAAGGTTATACCAAGTGCGAGCTGCCTTGATTAACTTACCCGTTGCTGCTAACAGAGTGACATCTTCTGAGACCCCATGTATCCGAGCCACCTGCTCAACGTTTTCTATCCACAGAGATACGTCTTCGTCCTCGGATCCTTTAAAATCCGGAATTTGAGATGACAACAGCTTAACTGCTTGTGCAGGTGCCAGTGAAGCAAGTACTGGACTTCGTGATTCGTTTAACGATCGGCGAAGCACCCCTGGAACTGGAACTGACTCCCTCATGACGCTTTCTGTGTGTTGATTCGTATGCCTCCTAGACGCTGTGTCGACGCTAAACGTCACAAATTGAGTTAGCACCTCCTGAAGCTGCATCATATGCTGTGTTAGTCGATCTAATTTCTGCGAGACCGCATCGTCTGATGTTGAAGAAGAGGCTTGCACTTGATTAGTTGTAGCAAGTCTTCCTGTAGTAGCCCGTGAATCCTGAGGATCTTGAAAACTGAGAAGATTCATTTGGACATGTCGTTCGAAGTGCGACATAAGCGTGTCAATACACGTAGATCTGCTCTCGCTTGCAGGTAGTTCGTATTTAGCGAGCTCAGTTTTGAGCTCCTCCAACGAGAGACTTTCCAGCCGTAAACGATCCATGTTTACCACTATATACTTTACTATTTGAGACTCTANACGTCACGTAGTCCCTTTGTTGTATAGCAAAACCGGTACGAACAGGTTCACCAATATGGCCGCTATCGACCATAAATCAAAATGGCGTTAAAACCGTTACCGACTAGCTGATCAACGGAAGGCGATACTGACGCGAAAACGCGAAAAAGGCACTGTGCGTTACAAGCGTACACTAGCTTGCACCTCAACTCTATGTGTAGCAGTAAACGTACCTCAATGCTGTTGGTACAGACTGCGACCACATACAGGTGTTGAACCGTTTGGTTGAGAGACACGGCGACGTTTTGCTATCCCACTTCTGAGGCTGTAAACTACCTCGAAACGCAGTGTGTTCAATAAACGCTTGTAGAGCCCGAAACTTGTCCACAAGGTTCGACTCTGAGTATTACGTCTTTTATAGACCAGACCTCAGAGGTTAAATCAGGATACGACAGCCCGACCGGGAATTGGTAAGGACAGTAGATGGGTAACGTCGTCGAAGCCACACGTTCTTCAATCTCTTTTATTTATTAGCACACTTTTTTACAACTCCTTCGTCTTGTACTACTCTTTGAGAAGAAGTCTCGAAACCCGTCGTTCAAAAGCCTCGAGTTCCCTTCTTTTACACGCACGCCACCTTTCGCCGCTTGATGGACATACACAAGTTCCCCACGTTCCGCTTGGCGGAGCCACCATCTCTACAAGGCGGGAACCACTTCCAAGCTTACAGTACATATACCAAAGTGTACCATACGATCGCCAAAAATCGCCTATGGCTTAGTTTACATCGTGCAATTGATACGCGTATCAAGTACTATATTCGTACCAAATTCGTACTAAATATTTTAGTACGCACGATGTAAACGCTATCGGATCAACTTGATACGGGCGTATCAAACAGGAGTATCGTACTAAACTGATACGCGTATCAAGTAATACAAATAACGATGTAAACGCATGAAACGTATTTTAAAGTTATAAGTTGATTAAAAGATATAGGTTAAGATTATAAACTTATAATCTTTTAGTCTCTTAAATCAAAATATCTTGCAGAAAAGATATGAATTGAGGAGAAGATGAAACAAATACATTTTTGGAATTATGCTTGGAAAAGCAAATTGTTGTTTTAATGGACGAAAAAAAACACAAACATATAGATATTTTTAATTTATTAGTTGAAGATATGGAGAAAAGAGGCTTTTTTAAAACGGCTCAAGCTATATATTTTTGTACACTGTTATTATTCATCCTTTTTTAAATAAATTATACACTCTACATTATACACGTTTTTTATTGAAACAAATTATACATGATCTGCAACAAGAAACTCAGGGCGATGTCCCATTGAGCGGAAATCTATAGCGGAACGGAATGTGCGGAACCAGCTCGACCAATCGTAACCACAGAATAAGCGAAGGAAAGAAAACGGAATGGCTATGATTGGTCGAGCTGGTTCCGCACATTCCGTTCCGCTATAGATTTCCGCTCAATGGGACGTCGCCCTCAAGCACATTAATTCCAACCATCACTGCTAGGAGGCAATTGACATAAATTATATTCGTATTATTTTTTTCTTTTAGTACGTTTGATGTAAACGCACCCGTACTAAAGACTTTGGTACGCACCAAACTTAATACGCGTATCAAGTTTTGACGATGTAAACTAAGCCTATAACGGACGAGTTTTCATTTATCCGGTTTCTCTTCTCAAATTGAACGCAGTATATACTGTCTACTTCCACTGTGGACGGCCCTTTACGCTCCATGTAAAATCAGCCAAACATCAAACCAAACCCTGTCTTTGCCTAAGTTGCGTTGTGTTATTTGGATATTCTATCAGAAGAACACAAAATAAATTTATCTTAACATATTACAAAAGAATATTAATAATGTCCGCAAACGTGCCACATGCTGAAAAAGAGTTGGATCTAAGTAATGCTGGCCGTGGAGTATGGCTTGTTAAAGTACCAAAATACATAGCTAACAAGTGGGAAAAAGCGCCTGGAAATATAGAAGTCGGCAAATTAAAAATTACAAAGTAAGTTTTATCTTTATTACAGATTAATTTATAAAAACGTTAGTAATAAAAAGATGAAGATTTGATAACAGTAGCAAATGCACTTAAAGGATAGATAATGTACTCAGTTGCACACACACATACACAAAATAAACAAACTGTTAGCAGCATTTGAACAGATTGACAAGTTTGATCAGTTTGAACTTAGATATCACAACTACTTGTATCTGTGTCAACACAACAAAGTTTTGTTTTGGGAATAAATTCTGCTGACATTATTCTGACATAAATAACAGACTTTACACAATATCTGTAAACACATATCACTTAACTTAATAGAAGCTTGTGCCATGTTTTATCCTTTAAACAATAAAACACTGATATTTATTAAATTGAGTACATTAATTCTTCTTTTTTACTTTTTTACATTTATTTGTTTATTTCAACAAAATTAGTATAAGAATATACTATTTATTTTTTTGATTTAATCTCTGAAGAAATAAGTTCAGGACATAAAAGAATATATGTACATATACCGATGTTACTAAAGATATCAAAGTAGTAATTCATGTAAAGACTGTGTATACTTTTATTCAAAAAACTTATGTGGAAATAAAATGTGCATAATAAAATGGCAGACTCACAATCTGTTTTTAATTCATCATCAGATTGTAACAAGGTTGGAAAAGTTACCTTATAAAAGTAACTTGTTACCATTACTTGTTATCAATTTTAAAAAGTAACTTGTTATTGTTACCGTTACTTAAAAAGTAATGAATTATTACAATTTCTGTCACTTTTTTTGCACATAATACAAATGTTATGCACAATTTTTAAATAATAAAGGTTACTTAAATACTACACATTTATAGTAAACACTAAAAACATTTTTGGATACTAGTTTTTATCAGAGTAACAAAAACGATATAATTTAAATAATAATCAATGTGGGATGTGAGGTGTGACCTCCAGCTATATATTGTTGGTGATTCCAAAATAATATTAAATCAACGGGCAATATTGAGCTCATGCAGGGTGTTGTGCAGAAATAAAATAAACCAATTTAATGTTAAGAGACGTTTCGACTTTTTTTATTTAAGTCCTTATCAATCTACAAACAATATTCAAAACATTATGTGTTGTATTGTAATTTATCTATTATCGGTAAGTATATGTCAGGTAGCAGTTCTGTGTCTTTCATTAAATTCAAACCGACTCTGTCTTTTAACAAGTATTATTACTGACGTCAGTCGCTTAAAATAATTATGTTTCGTGTCTAATATTTGAGTTGTTTCCCAATTAAATTTGTGTCCTGTTTCTTTTGAATGTTTTGCTAGTACAGATGTTTACAGATGTGTATGGATATATATATATATTTAAGCACATTCTCTGCACAACATCCTGCAAAACGGCTCACACAACCCGAATTTAATTCATTCATTGGTTTAAAGACTTACGAGCCTCGAAGAATCTTATTCTTCTTCATTTATTAATTTAAAAATTATACTATCTGTTCATTTGACGTGATATCCATATTTACTAATGTTTCAATTGAACTAGCTATAGACAGCATAGCTAAAAGATGGAAGTTTATCAAATTGAATATCAAAATTGATAAACTGGATTTCATAATAGCAGTGCAATTTGTTCTCACATCAACATATTTTACATTCAATAACCAAATATATAAACAAACATATGGCACCCCAATGGGTTCACCATTATCACCTATCATTAGCAGATTTAGCTATACAAGACTTGGAACTAAGAGCATTAAACACCTTAAAATTCTACATACCATTATACTTTAGATATGTTGACAACATAATAATGGCTATACTCCATGATACATTAGAAGAAGTTAAGAACACGTTCAACTCTATCCATGAAAGACTACAATTCATATAAGAATTACATAAAAATAATGTTCTCAATTATCTTGACGTAAATATTATTTTAGATAACAATAAGTTGATTTGTAATTGGTTCCACAAACCAACATTCTCCGAAAGGTAGATCAATTATTATTCACAGAATCTAATCAGTCATAAAATTACAGTTTACTCACTAGTAAACAGAGCCATCCTATTATCCCATCCAAAATTCCATCAACAGAATTTACAACACTGCATCAATATTTTAATCAACAACAATTATCCTACAAAACTAATTTTCAATACAATAAACAAAAGATTGAGGACATTATTTTTAACCACACTGAACAAAAATAAATTCGAACGATAATCCTGAGAACATTGAAAAACCATTTTATTTTGTAATACCGTTTACTAACACAAATAATAAGTTTTACAATCTGAATAACAACAACAATACATCCAAACCTGCATATAGAAATTCGAATCAATTGTCCAAATATATAAAAACTCACAAAGACATTATACCTAAAAAAAACCATAAAAATGGTATATTGCATTGACTGCGAACAATGCGAATCAAGCTACGTAGAACCAACTAAGAGACAATTAGCCACCCTATTAAAGGAACATCACAACTATGTAAAAAAAGAATTAACGGAAACATCTGTACTAGCAAAACATTCAAAAGAAACAGGACACAAATTTAATTGGGAAACAACTCAAATATTAGACACGGAACATAATTATTTTAAGCGACTGACGTCAGTAATAATACATGTCAAAAGACAGAGTCGGTTTGAATTTAATGAAAGACACAGAACTGCTACCTGACATATACTTACCGATAATAGATAAATTACAATACAACACATAGATGGTGTTAACACATATTGAATTCAAATCGTCACTTTGTTACAAACCATGCTCCGAACATGACTCAATCTTAACATTTGCGAAAGTTTTATTCTATTTATTTTACTTCTTGACCATTTATAACTAATAA